TGCCCAATACGCTTAACACGAGGTGAGGTAGGTATCAATGTGTCACATCAAGTCGCGATCTTGATTGCGCGGGCCCACGCGACGTCCATCGCGATGGCCAGAAGAAAATTATGGGGGCTTGTTCATAAGTCTGGCACAAATTTCATTCAATGCTGACGGAATTTTTGGTCGAGGAATTCTAGGAGAATAGAGATTTTTATTTAGCCGGACAGATGATGGGTTTTGAGAAAGTATGCATCCTCGGTTGCAATTAAGACAACCGTCGGTTCGTTGTTTCTCGCTATTGGGTACGCGGTCCTAAACGTTTTTGCGAAAGCTCCTGCCGCTCTCTTTTAACGGAGAAGTCTAGCTCTTCTTAATTTTGGGCGCATAACCAAGGACTTAGCAGGTAGGAGCGCGGATGGTCACGCTCTCTCGTCTAAGTCAGCGTCACACCGGCAGCTTCACGGGTCCACTGCAGCCGCTCTCGCGATTCTTCTGTTTCGGAAGATTGAATCTCACTCCTATTCATCCACGTGAAGTGCAATCACGTGGTCATATTGTAGTTTGTCGAAGAAGAGGTCTGAATAGCTATCGATATTTGTTCAGAGCATTCCGATGCGACAAGGCGAGACAACACTGAGGCATCTCAAAGGATCTGCAAAAGCAGATCACGAAAATATATGTTTGGGTCCACATGCTTGACCCGCAAATAGAGCTCCAAACAACGCATCTGACATTCGGATCATGTTCTAATCGGATACCTCTCGACAGCGCGCCTGAGAATGAAGATGGTCATATAGTGATTCATAACAATATGATAGTCTGGTACACCGATGGTCCAAGTCACTCTCAAAAGCCCTTTACGGCAAGCGTTTGCATTAGCTCGACCTAAGCTCAACCTCCTCCAAGTAGGGCCTCCCGCAGATTACTATCTGGAGTATGAGAACCAGGAAGGATGAGTGTAGACTCGAAAAGTGCGGTCCGGCTGCCCCAGTATACTGTATAAGCAATCTTACGCTCGCTCAAGTGCAGCTCGCGCGACTGTAAGCCGCGAGCAATCCACACCTGCACCGATCCTATTGCCTCGCAAAAATTCTTGTGTTTATACTGCTATACTACAGAATAAGCAACGGCAAGTTCGCTTTTTCTCCTCCGAAATACGCCGATTTTTCTATTTATCGTATACTCACGACGATTTCATTACGGCGAAAAGTCTACGTGTCGTTAATGCGCAATGGAATAGGTTTTGGCGCTCTGTACTCGAGGAGCTCGGGAGAAGACAAGTGTCAGGACACGTCATCGATAAAGGAAAAGTGCTTAACAGGTTTATTATGATACGTAGCGTTGAGGGTGCTATCGCCTCAGGGCAGCGCGTCCTTGTCTCAGTGCAGATGGCCTAACTATCTCAGAGCCAACAAATCTATTATCAAATGGCCTCCGTGAACCGCGGAGACGCTTTTTACTACAGTCTTAACCGTCTATGCTGGATATCTTTCGTTCCTCTGCATTCACTGAACGTCATTTTTCGGGTGCTACAAGGTGGAGTAGGAGGATTAAGTGGGGGCAACAAAGGGAACAAAAGGTAATAAAAATATTAAAATCAAAATATAGCCCCTTCTTTCACAAGACTTACGGGCCAACCTAATACTTAGATCCGAGTAAAAACAGAAATATTGAAAGAGAATGAACAAAGAACTACTTCAGCATCTGCTTCACGTGTGCCCTTACATGGAAACCACACCGGTGGAGTTGAGTCTCTTCCGTGCAATCCAGTTAGAAAAAAAGGAGAAAGAGTGTATGAAGTTATTTAATAGAAGGAATAAGAAATAAAGCCCTATCAAAGCGCAACGTTATTAACGAAGCTTTGGCAGGGACGCATTGTGATCAACTTGTTACAGTTCGAACTAAATATACTGACCCACGGCCCCTTAGATTCATGCATTCCGCTTGTCCAAGCCCATACCCATCTGATAAAGCAATGTTGTTTAGAGGAAAACCATCCCACGTTGGTATCGAGCAAGCCGGGCGGTAGGGCCATGATACGAAACAGTAGATGACCCTACAAGTTGATGCGTGACTCCTCAAAGTTAGGGGAATGTTCAAAGGAAACACTTCAGCCATCTGATCATGGAGTCTGCTTTAACACGTTGACGACATCGCGCGTTTTGTGCTTTTGCACCGCGTGGGACCAGAGCGATTTTGCGAGCGCAGCCGCCGCACACCAAATCCATGGATTTTGAGCTGTAAATACGCAATACTTAGATGCGATGAAATGTTTTCAATGATGTTCGATCTGTCTAGCTTATCAGGAGTTACAGTAATGGAAGTTTGACCGAAATGACGTGTTAAGGCCATGAAAAGGGAAATTTTACTTAATTTCCCTTTAGTGGTTCCAAAATTAATTTGGACGTGGTTGTTTCAGTAAAAACACATATCTTCCCATACGAATAGGTTTGTATTCACTTCTATTATTCCTTTTTATCAACATGTTTACGTTAATGAAAAGAAAACGAGGAATGAACTGAACAGACATATCCGTAAGGTCTGGAAAACCTCTGCCAAACTAAAGAATATTTGGCCTTTCTGTGAGCCATGTGGTTTTTAAGTATGCTAATGTATGACCTATAGAATGAGTACAAAGACCTTAGGAATAAGTCGCACAAGCGCAAGAAAAAGGAATGACTTGGGTGGGACGCGTTACCGCGTCACGCTGTCGTCAACGTGTTAAGAAAATAGGAAATCACAGCTACCTGCAGGCTTAAAGGCAAGATTCAGGATTGAATTATGAGTTAATTCCACTCAAATGTGAAAGTAGGGGTAGGTAGTGGACCGCCAGTGGAGAAAAAAGAAAAAAAATCGTGAAATACACAGGAAATACGAGCCTTTTGCTCTACGCTGCGGAGAAGTTCAAAAGGCCGGCAGGGAGATGAGAGATAATGTGAGCGCGGAGAGCGCTAGAGAAGTCCGAGTAGAGAGAGCATAGCAGATCAACATTGCGACGCAGACAAGATATCGAGCGGTGGGCGGAGCGTGTCGCAACAGGTGGAGCGTGTCAAAGTTCTTAGCGCCTAGCGTCTAAATAACGCTTTTCGAAGTAGGGAAGTGACGCGACCTCTACACTTGCGTACCTAGCGCTTCTAGCCACCGTAAAGGCTCATTAAGTGGGTCTGAGCCCGAACTTTGCCTTTAAGTCGCTCGCCTTTGTCCGCCATGGAAATGTAAAATAATATTTAAGCTACTCGAACCCATGAGGCGTTGTAGTACTCATTTTTATTCGTATTAAGTCGGAGACAGTAACAAAAAAGCTACTGAACAAATTACCTGCGTTGCATGGCCGACACCGGTTCGCAAACTGTACTCTGTGAATAGATTGGTTGGCCACCCAAACTGCTCAAATTCCACTTCCCAAGCTTTGCAAGCATTGCTACCGGTTCCTTCAATTGGAATCTGAAATAGTATATTCTAAACGCAGTGCTCATCGATGCTGGATTCATATTGCCTTACAGGGTTCGGTGACGCGCGAAGCGGGGTTCTGAACCTGTAGATATTCTCTCCGATGTTCCTTCCATCACGATTAGAATGCGCAAATGTGCACCTGTTTGCAACGTCTTGTGCACTGTTCTCCAGAAAGCATGAGTAATACTGAAAGACAGAAGAGTTGGTACGGTCGCCTGTGTACGCATATGTATGAATGTGGTTGTGGGTGATCCCCACCAATCGCCTCATGTTGACAGCTGGCGACTTTGCCACACCACGGACCACGTATTGACCTCGAGCGATTTTCGACCGCATGTCATTGTGGTACTGAAAAATCAAAATAGAGGAGGCGAACGGAATTGAGTGCAAGTGTGTTGGGTTGATGGATTCGCGTTGTCTACTATGCAGTTTTATTCTTGACGGAATGAAAAATTACTCTTCCACGAACTGAGAAAGAGGTAGCACCCTATTGACAACCGTCACCGGGCAATTGTTGTATGAAAGTAAGCTAAATTAAAATTTTGGAGAAATACTATTAAAAAAAACGTGGATGACCTGTAGAATAGCATTTCTGTCTGTCTGCGAGTACCTTCCGTTGCAATACTCCTGTCGTTTGCTCCTCTCCAGTTGTCCGAGCACTAGAATAGCCAAGGTGGGAAAAGCATCGATTTCAGTGAATGGAGGTGCGCATAACAGCCTTCGATGAAAATACCTGCGGTATTGAAAGCGTTGTCGTAACCGGTTATCAATTCATTCGGACCGACGCGTTGAGATGCTAAAACCATCCCTTGAACATAATACATACATACACGAACGCCCAAATTGATTTTTCGTCTGCTCGGAGAATATTTAACTCTTAGATGCTTACATGAATAACTTGCATGGCCGCAGGGTCCGTTTGAAGGCGCAAGAAAATTCCATGGTTCCAATCTCTACAGTGCGCTTATGTAGGTTAGAAAGCGTATTACGGCACCGTGACATTCCTATGGACAACAGATCTTTGTGGTTCAAAGGTTCCCTAGATTCGTTTTCATTTCATTTCTTTTATTCAGATTTCACTGTACGAGTATTATGACTTGGCACATCTTATTTCCCCTTCCCTATTAAAGGCACGCTCCGGGATTAGGCGCGCTCGCCTGTTCCATCCCGGGGGTAGTAGACAGGCGGACAAGCGTTGATGTCGCGCCCCTTTTGCCGCTTGAAAGTGCGCGACAAAGGCGCAAGGAGCTCGTCCGACCCGCAACTCACACCTTCGTCCGCAAGCCCCACCCTCCGCTGTCGGTTGCCACGTGGCGCTGCTTGAAAAGCGCGGGCGCATTTGAGGCAGCGGTCCCATTGCGACCCAATGTCATTGGCACTGGAGCAACTAGAGTTAGGTTCGTGAAACTCGTCCAACGCGCCCTTCTCTATCCCAAGGTGGAATGCGGCTGAAATAGGGGAGGTCTCTGTGCGGGGCGTAATCGGTGGTTTCGTTTGCTTTCCTTCTCTTTTCCAGACCACCTCCCACCTTAGCTTCATAACTAAACGCTCTACACCTATTTTATCCTCTGCCGCCTTGCCTTTCACACAAGGGTTTAGAAGGGCTAGATTCAACTGAAAGACTGAGCACGAGCCTAATTCAGATGCACCTTCATATCTGTAGTGTTGGTTTGTGCTCTGTTTTATAACTGAAGCTCCTTCACAGAACATTGCAATAGATATGGACTCGCTCTGTGGGGGCGGTAATGCCATAGTGTGCCGCGGAGTGATAAATATTTTGGCTAGCCCCTTCACGTACCGTACCTTAGTGGTTCATCCTGGGATTCTACTAGGATTCTCTTCCAATTCATATTTCTCAGGCAGAGGAGTTGCACGCAAAGCTTCCTGCGCCTTGTGAGCTGGCATCGAAAACTGGTTTTGTCTACGGAAGGTTGGACAAAAAAGTTCGCAGACCACATAGTCGGCAGAAATACTAACTTCTTTTTCCCAAGGAGGATTATACCTGTATTGCTCTTTGCATGCTCACATCTTCACGTGAACATGAGAAAAAGTTAATGTGGATTCTGGAGAGTAGTCTACTCCAGTAGGAGAAGTTGATTTAAATTGGAGACAGCTTCATTAACAAATATCTCCAAACTCTTTCTGATTTCAAGAAAGTTCTCGTCTTCCCTAGAGAATGTTTTCCGTTACGAGCGGTTATTTTTAACCGTTTTCGATGCATCCAGAGGAAAGCTATGTAAATTCGAGGTATGATGACGAGCACGGTCAGGGCCTCAGACTAAATTGCGAGCATCCTGTTGAATGTTCAGATGCCCGTTCGATCATGTGGTGGAACTACTGACACTTTTGGCCGTCACGTCAGTTTTTTATTGGCACTTCTGTAAAAGAAGGGTCTCGCACTCGAGACCGGAATCATTGCAACATGAAAAATTCCTTCTATAGGTAGGTTTCACTTTCACGCTTTGGTACATATGAGCGCTCGTTGCGCTTTCTCTTCGTACTGCCTTTGATGAGTCCACTCGGTAATCTTATTGCGCATCAGTGTGGTCAGATGTTTGAGACGTTTTTCCTTCTGTGTAGTGGTCTTTACGTCTCTTTGCATGTGACTCCGTCTCCTCTGAGGTACTGCATGTTCCGTGCATAAAGTGAGCAACTTATTAAGACATAAATATCCCGATGAGCTATTGCAGTTCATACCTTACTGGTTGAACATATGACTGTACTCAAGCATACAGAAGAGAAAATTTCCAGAGGTGTAAAGTGACAGAAGTTCTCTCTCTTCAAGGTAGCAATCACGTCGGCTAGAGGACGCTGCGATTTTGATGAGATTTTTTTCTTTGAGCGTAGATTAAACCCTCTAGGACGTTGTAGGTGTTGTAGAGACTGCCCCTAAGCGCCCTGTCACCAATGACGTTTAACACGCTTAACAATACCGCCTTACAGCCACCATATTCACTGCTTTTGAAACTTCTTCTTACAACTTCTTAACATTCCGATATGATTGAACGGAACACAAGCAGAATAGAAATTTTCTCTATGATATGGATTCATTTAGTGCAATGATATTTATGACTTTCGCTTATTAAATCTTGATTAATCATTTGTTCCATATAGAAAGCTTATCTAGTGGCTGATCGAGGATTATTGTAATAGAACGTAGAATTCCCGCGGTCTGCCTAGTATAGCCGTATAAAAAAGCCGCAGCCGTTTTTATGGGAAGGGATACAAAGCATCAAAAGTACAAATTGCTTCCTTTCTAAAAAAGTTTTGAAATGTTGCAAATGTTCAATATTCAAAAAATCGTCCCGTTGTTCCGTTTTTTGTGCACACGCGAGTTTTCGACATTCAAACATTCATAACTTTCTTCATAATCAACTTTTTGCAGAATGTCTAAGGCTAATTAGAAACTAGAAGATTAGAGCTTTCGAACAAGCACCTGAAAATTTCCAAGCGATCATTTCTTCAAAAAATAGTCCCGTTGTTCCGTTTTTCAGGGGTTTGTGGTCCGATTTTTGAGAACGGCGCGAGTTTTCGACATTCAAACGTTCACAACTTCCTTTCATAATTAAGATTTCGCAGGTTTCTAAGGCTAGTTAGAAACCCAAAGATGAGCTCTCGAAAAAATATTGAAACTCGCTCAGAAGACCGCTCTTTCGAAAAATAAACTCGTTGTTTTTTCCCCTCTACTGCTCTGTTGGGCCGTTCTCGTTTAACGCGAGTTTCCAATTTTCCAAAGCCCATAACTTTCTTCAACATTGGTGAAATGAGAAGTGGTAGAAGACATTGAGATCAAAATCATCAGCCTTCAACATACGCCGGCTTCTTCTGGGAATTTCTCTGGGATAGAGACTTTCTTCTATCAGCATTTTCTATTAGGGCTCAATAAATCAATTCGCCAAATCCGTAGCACTTTATTCCATATGCGATCCCTTCGTTGATCGAGCGGGCGGTTGACCATGCCAGTAATTACTAACAAGTACTCTCTTTATCCAGTGACCGCAGGAAGTACTGTAATTGCACACTTAGTAAAATATTTGGCTGCAGGTAACCCAAGGGTATTAAAAAGCAGCGCAAGTATGAAGTGCCCAGTTTTCAAAGTTTTACAAAAGCAAGCTAAGTTTACAGTTAG